TGGTTGAAAATGTTTACTGTGGCGTAGCATTTTTTTAATCATTATTTACTCAAAATCAATTTCTTATCCCGTAAGGTTATTTTAATAGCTTAGCCCCCATATGTATTTTTTAAATTTTTAAAATTAATTTATAATTTATAATTTATATTATATTTATTGATGGCAAACTATTTTAAAGAAAAAAAATTTTTTATTTTGTGTTTTTTAATTTTGTTTTTATTTTTTTTATGATTTTGATTTAAATAAAATAATATATAAAACTTACAATATAATATAATTTAAAATAAATATTTTATTTAAATTTGATTTAACTTGATTTAAACCAAAGATGGCACTGCAACTGGTTGTAACTGATGATAAATAAGTATCACAGGATTGCAACTAGTTGTAACATTAATAAAAATTAAGTTGCAACTAGTTGCAACCAGTGATAAATAAGTATCACATGGTTGCAACTAGTTGCAGCACCATCTTTAATTTAAACTTAACTCAACTCGAATAAATTCAAGTCAAAATCGAGTTGAATTAAACTCAAATCAAATCAAATTGAGTCAAGTTTAAAATTTATATAACTCGAATTAAATCAAATTGAAAGATTTTATAAAATACTTGATTTGACTTGAAAAATAAGTTAAATAGAATTGATCTTTAAATTTGACTCAACTTAACTCATTCAGAATACTAATTAAAATTACAATAATTTAGATATAATATGTCTCATTTATAATAAAACTTACTTTTGCTTTATTATATAAATTATTAATAAAATTTTAAAATCTATTTAAACAAAGTTTTTCTGATATTACAAGTATTACTTTTATAAATCTGTTATATTTTAAATGCATTAATATTCAAAATGTACATTTAGGATATCTCAAATTGAAATGCATAATTGGAATATCTCAAATACAAAGATTATTTAAGATATTAATTTATCCTAAATGCATATTTCAAATATTCCAAATGCACATTTCAGATAATTTCCTAAATGAATATTTTAGATATATTCTAAATGCACATTTCAGATATTCTAAATGCATATTTTGAGTATATTTTAAATATACATTTCAGATATCTAAATACTAATATAAAGTTTATTTTTATATTTTTATTTACAATTTAAATAAAAATAAAGCTTTATAAATATAACTATTAAATATAAATAAAATATAAATTACAAGTCTGTCATTTAATAAATTTAAATTATTAGTGACCATTTAGAATAGTCTGAAATAAGTTTGAATTAGTTTTTTAGAATAACCTAAATGTTTATTTATAATATTTAAAATGAGTATTTGAGACATTATCTGAAATGTGTATTTGGAATATTATCTGAAATATATATTTGGGATATTATTTAAAATGTACATTTGGAATATCTAAAATGTGTATTTAAAATATTGTTCAAAATATATTTTTAGAATATTATCTGAAAGGTACATTTAGAATATTATTTGAAATACGTATTTAGGATATCCAAAATGTGGATTTAATACATACTCAAAATATTCATTTAGAATAATATCTAAAATGTATATTTGGGTATTTAAAATACACATTTAAGACAAGCAAATATTTCAAACAATCTTTGCATTTAGAATATTCCAATTGCATATTCTTATTTAGGATATTCTAAAGTATTTCAGATATCAATGCATTTAGAGTATAACAAATCTAAAAGCAATTTCTTTAGATATTTTATTCTATTTTATTCTGTCTTATATAATATTTACATAATTGGATATACAAGATATACCAAAATATATCAACTTTCATTATTTTAAAATAAAAATAATTTATAAAAGAATTTTTAAGATTACTTTAAAAACTTTAAAATTTTTAATAAAATTTACCTTTTGATCTTTCATTTAAACCTTAAATGAATTAATAATTATTATTTTCTCAAAAAATAATATACAAACTGTATAATAAAATATTTTTTCTTATCTTTAATTTTTTTTTTTTTACAATTATCTTATTTTAACTCTTCTTTTATATTTTTGATGCAAATTGAATAATTATCAATTTAAGAAAAATTGATAATAAGCTATATCAATTTATTTATTTTAAATAATTATTATAATAATTCTACTTTATAATGAAGAATTTATATTGAATTTATTAAAGTTAAACATTATGTGATTAATTATTAGAAAATATAATAAATCTTAAATTTTTTTAATTTACTAAAGCTCCGATAAGCCGGCTTGGCTTGGATTGCCACCGGCTCGAGCCGAGCCACTTTTTTTTCGGCTCGGCTCGGCTCGGATCGTGGAGATCAATTGACAAGCCAAGCCAAGCCAAGCCGGCTCGTTCGGCTTGCATTTATATTTAGAAACGAAAAACCGTCGAGAGAAACGTTTCTCAT